CTTCCTTCCAAGGAGTGGCTGGTGGGTTTGAACCGCCAGCCTGCTGGATAGCAGTCGAGTGCCTTAGGCACTATGCCACCAGAGCTCCCTCTTTTGAGATACAGATTCAACAAATGTATTGTAGTCATTTTTGTGATGGTTCTTTTAAAGTACGTTCAGAACACAATCATGTTTAACCTGCTTGTATTGTACCTAATTCTAATAATTGCCTTATAATAAAAAGCATTAAAGTTATTACACAGACACACATCACTGTCAAACCCCACTCGCTCCCCACCTAACACTGTGTCTTTTCCATAACAAGTCAATTATTCTCTGAATTCTAAACAGTTTCTGGGTCTTCCACTTCAGAGGTCAATCAAGTTCTGACTTGATTCACCTCCCAAGCTTCTAGGGAGTTTTTTCTTCTTTAACCACAAATTTTTTTCATTCTAATTTATTACCATAGTGACAATAATTGACACACTGCTGTGGAGTCAGATCCGACTCCTAGCAACCCCTCCTTGGGCTTCTCAGGCGGTATCGCTATGGAAGTAGATTGCCCAACCTTCCTTCCAAGGAGTGGCTGGTGGGGTTGAACCACCAGCCTTCTGGTTAGCAGTCAAGTGCCTTAGGCACTATGCCACCAGAGCTCCCTCTTTTGGTTTTGGTTTTTTACACATGCCAAACTTCCTTTCATTAGTGGTTGGTAATTATTTCTTTATGGCTGATGGTATTATTATTATGGGACATATTGGAAGCCAATCTGATTTTAATGTTAAGGGTGACAGAAAAACACAGCTGTTGTTATAGTACGTCTGGGCTGGGTTCTGGGAAATTGTGTGTGTGTGTGTGTGTGTTTAGTTTGAGACATAATTACATACAGAAAAAATGCATAGATCTTAAAATGTCCAGGTGATACATTGTCACCAAGGACTCTAGCTGTTAAGCCTAAAACCAGTGAAGAGTTACAACCTTTCTGCACTCTCATCCAAGATCCCTCAGCCTCGGCACTGTTGAGGCTGGACATGGGGTAACCCTGTTGGCTTGTGTGCTACAGACTGTTTAGCTGCAGCTTTGGCCTCTCCCCACTAAATGCCAGTAGTACCCCTACACCCCTACCCTCAACCATGACTTTCAGAATTGTATCTAGACATTGCCCCAAGTGGAGAGCCACCATCCTCGGAAGTCCTGGCATGGCCCTGCCCCGCAGAAGGGACTACAATGCTGACTTCTATCGATCCAGCTCAAAATCGGAGGAGGTATCATTTGCAGCCTCCACCCATTGGTCAGTTTGTGGAAAAGTGGTGGCTTGCACGTGACTATGATGCTAGAAGCTATGGCTTTGGTATTTCGAGTACCAGAAGGGCCCCCGCGGTGAACAGGTGCCGGCGCAGCTTCCAGCGTCAGACAGGCTGGGAAGAAAGGCCTGGGCACCTGGTGCCAAGCAAGCAGCGTGTGCTGTCGCGCGAGACGACGAGTCCCCAAGGTCGGCAGGCACTCACAACACAGCACTGCCAGCCAGGGAGTGACGTGTAGCAACGGCAGTGCCGATGCGCCAGGACCGGCACAAGCCACAGGTGACTAGATGGCAACTAGCACCAACAACTGCCAGAAGCACTGGGCATTCAGATCACAGGGTAGGTGAATACAGAGTTTGCTATCAAGTCAAGCCCCCATGACAAGAAATAGCACATCACTGTGGTTACTATGAGGATTGGATGATACAACATTTGTAAGCCATTAGCCCAGTGCCTGGCAGAGTTAAGTGCTCAAGAATGTTACTCTGTTCTCCCCAAGGAAAGGTAC